TGTGTTATCCCAGATCCTAACCACGTGTTTGTGAAAATGTTTGTCCTCATGTCAACATTGCTTCTTTTGTGAATTTAGCAAATCCCATCCTACAGAGAGTAGAGACATGGAATACACTGCCTGAAAGGGCAGTGGAAGCAGATTCAATAGGAACTTTCTAAAGGGAGTTGGAGGATTAATGGAATGGAAGAATTTTTAAAAAATCATTTACAGGACGGGGGTGTCACTGGCTAGGCAGCATTTATTGTCCATCCCTAATTGCCCAGAGGGTAGTTAAGAGTCAACCACATTGCTGCAAGTCTGGAGTCACATAGGCCAGGCAAGGTAAGGATGGTAGTTTCCTTCCCTAAAGGACATTAGTGAACCAACAATTAACAACAGATTCAGGGTCATTACTGGACTCTTAATTCCAGATATTTTATTGAATTCAAATTCCGCCATCTGCTGTGGTGGGATTTGAACGCAGGTCCCCAGAACATTAACTGGGCGTCTGGATTAATAGTCTAGTGATAATACCACTAGACCATCGCTTTACAGAGGTGGTGACCCAAGTGGTCTCCAGCTTGATGAGCAAGGGGATGAAAGGTTTTTGAGATTAATCAGATCAGCCATGGTCTTACTGAATGGCAGAATAGGCTCGAGGGGCAGAGTGGCCTACTCCTGCTCCTGATTCATTATTTGGATATACTGTGAGTTGGAGTCAGCTTCCTTTGTTCAGAGAACTGAAAGAAACCAGCAGCTGAGTTGTTGGTGCCGGTCCAGGGACAATGAGGAAGGTGACATGAAGGAGATTCCAATAGCATGGAACAGTCACTGACTCTTGGGCTGTTCAGATTGGGACTGGACCTAGGTCAAGATATTCTGCCAAGGGCAGTGTTGCAGAGATGTACAGCCATAAAAATCTCTCGAAAGGCTCGAAAAATCCTACAGGCTACAAACCTCGTCGCTGTCAGACCACTCGGGCTCGGACTCTCTTGTTGTAGAGACAGCAGAACTCCTTCAGAAGGAACAGAAACAAAGGGTTAACAGCGACGCTGACAGGAAGTGGACAGAATCTCCCCATCTCCCCCTCAAGCCGCCTCTCCAGTGCTCTGGAGAAAGCACCAGCCCTCTGGGATATCTCATTGCTTCTACCAACTGTATCCATTACCCGTTCGCTCTCCACCCAATGCCTCCGCCTTCTGTAACATTTGGGTGATCACTTCCAACATCATTCCTGCTCGTGTTTGTTTCCCTTCAAAGGTATTAATGCTGTCGCCTCAAACATGAAACTTACTTCCTCCTGTCGAGTGAAGGCTTCATGCCGAACATGGTTGTTTGAACTTCCTGGCTTGACTGAATGTTGGCCTTGCTGCCCTGCCCTAAACAGAACAAAGACCACGTGTTAAAAACCGTTCAGAGAGAATCAGAGATCCACGCAGCCAAGACAAGGCCATTAGGCCCAACACAGATATGAGGTTCAACATTTTTCCTCTCTCTCTCACAATTGTGTCACTTTGGAAGCAGCATCTGCCAAATGACTGGCCTCTGATAGCTATTTGACCGTGGAGGCCATTGCAGCAGGTGAAATGTTTCTCTCTAAGCAGCGTCTACTCACTCTGTTCTCTGGTCCTTCCCAAAACCTTTTACAAGTCAGTGACACTTTGGTCCAGTGCTGTAGTTATTTGAACAATAAACCACACAATGGGGGTTGGGGGCGGGGGGGGAGTTGAGGAGTACAAACCCCAGCCTGCGCAGTTTGATATTTATTCAAAATAAAGCAGGAAATTAAATTTTATCTTGCACTTTAAGGATTTCTGACCACAATATTGCACATCTTTTTAAAACACAGATGAGAAATTACAATAAGCGTGCCGCACTGTCGGAGGGAGGGTCAGTGCCGAGGCAGTGCCGCACTGTCGGAGCATCAGCATTGAGGGAGTGCCGCAATTTCAGAGGGTCAGTGCTGAGGGAGTGCCGCACTGTTGGAGGGTCAGTGCCGAGGGAGTGCCGCAATTTCAGACTGTGCGGCACTCCCTCAGCACTGAACCTCTGAAAGATTACAAAATGATGTTTTTGCAAACCCAAATCCACTCTTCCCTCTTAGTCACTCATGCTGTTATGCTCCAAAAGTTTTAACAGATTCACCCAACAGTTTCCCCTTCTTGGAGCAAGTTACTACAGATGCTGGAATTTGTACTGAAAGCAACAAATGCTGGAAAACACTCGGGTCAGGCAGCACCCATGGAGAGAGAGCTAGCGTTTCAAGTCTAGATGACCCTTCACCAGAGCTCTCCCCTCATTCTGTTACTAGTCCCATGTGGATACTCACTTCGTAAAGTAGCTGAAGGAACAGATGGTTTCATAAGCGACTCCCTAGATTTCTCCTTTATGGAGGTTTTTGACATCTTTAATTCTTTCTTTTTTCTCTCCCTCTCCTCTTTCCATTCTTTGGGAGAGAGTTTGATCAGAAAGTCTCTGTACACCTGGTAATCCTTCAGTGTCTCTTCAAACTTGACAATATCACTGCCAAATTCAGCAAGAACAAGATCAATACAAACTCAAAGCCTTATACTGATGCCATTTCCTGCCTCTCGGAAGGGAGAATGGAAAGATGAAACCTAGACAGAGACTTTCTGCTATTTAGCAGAGGAAGGCTGCACAGCGCAGTTCAATCCTGCACCCAATCAATGCCTTGGTCTCAGGAATCGCTGTGAGCTGGTGATTATGTGGCACATTCTAACCCTAGGGCCAATGTCGTAAGTCCTTTCCTTGGATGCCTTTGGCCAGAAGAGCAGAAATGAGGAATTAAAAAGCTCACAGCCACAGATAACAAAACTCAATAAACTTACAAACGGGGAGGGGAGGAGCAAATTATCTTAGGTTTCCAATTGATTTTAAATCAAACGTCAAATCTTTAGCAGATGAATTTCTTGGATGAGCTTCTGTTCTGGTGAATCTCAAAGAAGAAAGGAGGCCATTTAGACCATCGTGCCTGTGCTGGCTCTTTGATAAAGCTCCTGAGTCAGTCCCTCACCCTGCGTTCTTTCCCTATTCCCCTCGATGATTTTTTTCAAAGATCTGTATGTTAGTTATTGTGGCATCTGCTTACACCAGCTGATTAAGCACCATGTTACAGGTCACAGCAAATCACTGTGCAAATATCCTTTTCCTACACCCCCTACCCCCATTTAAACCCTTCCCCCTGTGAACTTTGACCAATTATCTTCAGTTTATGTCCAATTTCAACCCCACCCCCAGCCTACGGAAACGGCTTCTATCTATCCAAACTCTACATTATCTCACTTTTTCACTGCCATCATTTGCGTTGTCACTTTCTTGATTTCAGCTACTTTCTCCAGCTTCAGTTTTGTCTCCTGTTCAGCTCTGGAAACAGAAACCAGAAACCATGTTAACCAGAAACTGATAGCACAGTAAAGAGAGATCCTTCCCTTTTTGGCCATATAGGTCTGAATTTTTCAGACAACAGTACCTCAGATCTCACATAGAAACATAGAAACAAGGAACAGGATTGGGCCATTCAGCCCTTTGAGCCTGCTTCACCATTCAACATGATCACAGTTGATCATTCAACTCAGTCCCCTGTTTCCCACTTACTCTTTGATCCATTTAGCCCTAAGAATGATTTCTAACTCCTTCTTGAAAAGAAGGAACCAACCACTTTCTGTGGCAGAGAATTCCACGGGATCCCCACTCTCTGGGTGAAGACATTTCTTCTCATCGCAGTCCTAAATGGCTTATCCCCACATTCTTAAACTGTGACCCATGGTTCTGGGCTCCATAGTCATTGGGAACATTCTTCCTGAGTTGACCCTATCTAGTCCCATTAGAATTTTCTAGATTTTTTAATCTGTTAGTTGGTTTGAAAAATTTTGAAGATAGGCTGAAGACAGATCTAACTGCTGGACCTTCATGAGGCCATCATCAGCAGCAGAACTATTTTCAACTACAGTCTATAACCTCGCAGCTACTTGACCATTACCTTCAAGCCAGGGCTAACCTTCGTCCAATGAGTAATAAAGGAGACCATTGCTGGGAGCAGCTCAGGTCAACCTGAAAATGAGGTGCAAACTTTGTAAAGCTACGATCCAGAACCAAACATTGGTAGCAACACTATCTCTTCCAAGTCACTCCATTCTTTCTTCCAACAATATCACTGTCTCTTTACCATTTCCGGGTCAAATTCCTAGAATTCCCTCCCTAAGGGCATTGTGGGTCTACCTACAGCACATGGACTACAGCAGTTCAAGAAGGCAGCTCACCACCACCTTCTCAAGGGCAACTAAAGACAGGCAATAAATATTGGCCCAGCCAGCGATGCCAACATCCCAAAGCAGTCTAATTTATCAGGAATGTTTCAATCACAAACCACCCCTCTGGCCTTTGCAGGGAGCTTCAGTTGCTCTCTAACACGTTGCAAATACTCTATCAGGTAACCAAAAGGTGACATTCTTACATTTGCATCGCTTCCACTGAGTTTTTGTCATTTTCTTTCAAGAACTCATCAAACATGGCTGCGTCTTCCTCAAGGTACTGCTCAGCCTTCTCAAGTTTCATCTCCTCTGCGGCAGCCACTTCATCCAATTTCCTCATCTCGTCCTTCTTCATGGTCAGTGAGTACTGGACAGGAGCAACCACCCAAGATCTGTTAGGAAACCAGCAAAAATAAACATCTTCCCAGCCCACCACATCTATTCCCATGTGTCTGCTCCTCACTTCTGGTCTTCCCACTGCCATGACCCAATTGCAAAGTGTGTACTGATCACTGAGCCCCAATATTCCACAGTCTATATCTTAACTGATTGAACCAATGAAATCAATTGCCTTGATTGACTGCAACTAATACGCACCAGGTTTTGTCATAAAGAGACTAAGTAACATTATTTTTCATCAACACAGACATTAACAAACTTACAAAGAAGATAAATTATTAATTGCTATACTATGAATAAACTTAAACCTTTGCCCCAAATAGATACTCATTCACAAACAATCCAAAAAACAATGGACAAGATGACACAAATATTACAGGTGGGAAAAAAATATAGTGAGGGAAACACATATCTGTCTCACAGGCCCAGATTGCAACAGTAGCATGAGCTATTCTCTCAAGGGTCAGTACCGAGGGAGCGCCGCGCTCTCGGGGGGGAGGATACTGAGGAAATGCCGCACTTTCGGAGGGTCAATGCTGAGGGAGTGCTGCACAGTCAAACGGTCAGTGCTGAGGAAGTACCACACTGTCAAAGGATCAATGCTGAGGGAGCGCTGCACTGTCAGAGGGTCAGTACTAAGGGACATTAGTCAACTAGATGGGCTTTTAACAATTGACAATGGTTAGATGGTCACTATTTAAAAACTGGTTACGTGACATCAAGTTTGATTTTGAAAAAGCCACGTGTTAGAGATGGAGGACTGAACGAGGAGAAGGGTCTGCAACTTTTCACCTTGGGACTGAATGAGCTGAGAGAAAAAAAATGTTTCCAGTGACAAGAGCACACAGATTTATGGTAATTTGTAAAAAGTAAACAGGCAAAGAGGGGGCAGTGGAAGAAGGTGCAATGATACCTCTTGAAATGAAATTTGGTAAATAATTGTTAAAAATTATTTAAACCTTTTAAAAATGATAAAGAAAATGGTGCATCTGGGATAGAGGCTAGTATTGGTGCAATAGACCAACTGGGCTCCTGTGCTTCAAGAGTCTATGAAAGTGTGACAATGTGGATACTTGGAAAAAGACACTGTAGGACAAGGATTTTTGTAGCTTGATAGGAACCAAGGGCAAAATAGGATTAAATAAATATCTGAGAGAGAGAGAGACAGAAACAAGGAAATGGAGAAAGTGTCACAACTGGTGACAAAGGGAAAGAGTTCAAGAGTGAGAGAAGGAACAAAATAAACTGGCAAAACAAAGACAGAACAGGAAACTTCACAAGTAAAATAAATCTTATTTCCATACTAATTAGTGTTACCTGCAGCATAAACATTTCTCTTTTCTTGTTGATATAATCATTCAAGGTTTCTTTCTCAATCTGACGATCTGAAACAACACAAATTTAAAACCGATCTACAGCAACTGAGAGAAAAAGGAGGGGGAGATGGGGAGATACAAATAGAGACATACAGAGGAAGGGGGTTGAAGGCACACTGAGGCAAACAGAGACAGAAGGATAGAGAGAAACGGAGACACACACACACTCTGTCTAAATCCACCAACATAACCCTTTATCCCCTTCTCCCTGTAAATTCCCCCTTAAATATCTCTGGAAATATTCATTTCAACCACTCCCTGTGGGAACAAGTTCCACATTCCTGGGAGTGTTTGAGTCAGATTCTGAAGGGTAGGAATACAGAATTCCGACAACCGGGAGCAAATAGGCAGTACCTCTTGTGACTTTGACCTTCCATGATGGATCACTTTTGAAAGCAGACAACTTTTTCACATTGGCCTGATGCTCAGCCTCTGAATCCTCCTCTGGTTCTTCCTCCACCTTCTGGGGACTGCCAAATTTTGCATTAACTCGAGCTGCATATGTGACCTTCTCATGAATCTTGAGTTTCTTTTGTTCATTTTGTTCCTGGAGTCCAGAATCAAGCAGGAAGTGGAGGGGAAAATGGTAGTGTTAATGGGGAGTTAATTGTTTAATTCCAGACTCTTGTGCTCCTTATGAGCCTCATTATAGAATCATTGAGTGACACAGGCCATTCACCCCATCAAGTGTTTTCAATTTCTTTTCAATTAGTCACTAGAGAACATTCCTAACAACATCAGAAGTAGGCTTAGATCTTTGGACCACTTAACCCTGCTCAGCATATCAATACAATCCTAGATACCAAGGTGTAGAGCTGAATGAACACAGCAGGCCAAGCAGCATCAGAGGAGCAGGAAGGCTGATGTTTCGGGCCTAGACCCTTGGCCTGCTGTGTTCATTCAGCTCTACAGCTTGGTATCTCAGATTCTCCAGCATCTGCAGTTCCTACTATCTCTAATACAATCCTAGCTGACTTTCTACCTCAACTCCCTCCCCACACACCCCAATGCTCTAATCCCAACCTCAGAATATCCTAGACTCCATCCCTGGGTATCTCCTGTTCCACAAGCAGGACAGACCCAGCAGAGTTGGTGTCACAGTGGTGTACAGTTGGGATGGAATTGCCAAGGGGTTTTCAACATTGAGTTCAGATCACACAATGCCAAATGGAAGCAAGTCAAACCTCCTAGCCTACCCCTACCTCTTGGCTGATGATTCAGTGCCCCTCCATGTTGGACAACACTTGGAGGAAGCACTGAGGGTGGCAAGGGCGCACAATGTACTCTGGGTGGGGGATTTCGATGTCCACCACCAAGAGTGGCTCGGCAGCAGTACTACTGATCAAGCTGGTCAGGTCAGAAAGGACATAGCTGCTAGACTGGGTCTGCGGCAGGTGGTGAGGGAACCAACATGAGGGAAAATCCACTTGACATTTCTCTCACCATTGAATTTGTTTGGAATTGATCGATTAAAGAAGCAGCATAGTAAAAATGGACCGGATGATTTACTTTTGCATATTCATTCCATCCCTACGCTTTTCTGTTGGAATGTTCACTGATTTATCGTGTGACTCCAACATTTACCAGGTTTTATTCTTTTCACAAATAAAAGAAGATCACAGCAGCTACTGGAAATCTGAAACAGAAACAGAAAGTGTTGGAGAAACACAGTAGATCCAGCAGCGCCTGAAAATAGAGACAAAGAGTGAATGTTTCAAATCGACCATAACTCTATTCAGAACTGGTTCCAGCATTTTCTGTTTTTAATTGTTACTTAGAGGAGCATAGGTAAGGTGAATGACAAGGGTCTTTTCCCTAGGCTGTGGGAGTTCAAAACTAGGGGGCATATTTTTAAGGTGAGAGGAGAAGATTTAAAAAGGGGCAATTTTTTTACACACAGTGTGGTTTGACTGTAGAATGAACTTTCAGAGAAAGTGGTGGATGTGAGAACAGTTACAATGTTTAAAAGACATTTGGATAAGTTCATAAAATAGAAAGGTTTGGAGGCACATGGGCCAAGTGTATCATAGAATTATAGAATCCCTGCAGTGTGGTAACAGGCCATTTGGCCCAACAAGTCCGCACCAACCCTCAGAGCATCCCATCCAGACCAATCCCCCTGTAACCCACCGAATCTACACACCCCTAAACACTATGGGCAATTTAGCATGGCCAATCCACCTAACCTGCACATCTTTGGACTGTGGGAGGAAACCGGAGAACCCGGAGGAAACCCACACAGACATGGGGAGAATGTGCAAACTCCACACAGACAGTCGCCCATGGCTAGAATCGCCAGGTTCCTTATGCTGTGAGGCAGCAGTGCTAACCACGGAGCCACCGTGCCGCCCGTGTAGGAAGATAGGACTAGGTTAATTTGGGTAACTTGTCTGCGTGGACTGGTTGGACTGAAGGATCTGTTTCCATGCTGTATGACTCCATGATTTACTGTTTTCTGGGGGTCAGTTAGCTCAGTTGGCTGGACAGCTGGTTTGCAATGCAGAGGGACACCAAAAGCGTGGGGTCAATTCCTGCACTGGCTTACGTTACCATAAAGGATTCTCCTTCTCAACATCCTCCCTCAGCTGAGGCATGGTGACCCTCAGGTTAAACCATCACCATCATCTCTCTCTCTAGTGAGAGAGCAGCCTACGGTCTGGTAAGACAATGGTGACCTTACATTGTTTTCTAAACTGTTTTGCAAAACTTCCCTTGTACAATGCATTAAAATATTACCTTTTTCTTCCGTTCTCTTTCAATATCTCGAAGAACAAAGATATCACAGTCTTGAGGGATCTTGAAAGGGTTGAGTCTCTCATTGAGGAATGCTGGGCATGCTGCAGAGAAAAATCAAAACTGTTTCACTTTGGGTGGAGTATTATTCATCTTCCTTTTGTTAAAATCTCTTGTCCTCTAACAATTAACAAAAGAATTTGCAATTCTTCAGCAAGTTTCTCAACGCCAGGATGACCAGAACACATCACTGACAAAGAAAGACTACTGAAGTGAAGGCTCTGTTATAAAATAGGAAGCGCGGCAGTCAGTTTGAGCACAGCAGGTTCCCAATACCCCACTGTGATAATGATCTGATACTGACACTGTTTGAAAGGTGACTTCTGGAACGACACCGGAGATAGCTCTGCTTCTATTCTTTGAAAGAAGAGCTGTGATTTCTGTTACTTCCAAATTAGATAGTAGACAGGACCAGAGTTTAATACCTTAAATGAAAAATGGAATCTCTAGCAGTGCAGCCCCACTCAGTACTGCACTTGGAGGATCACAAATGGAAGATGTGATCTTTTGCTGTCATTGTCCTGGGAGTGTTTGATGGGGGACAGTGTAGAGGGAGTTTGCTCCATATCGAACCCTGTGCTGTCCCTGTCCTGGAAGTGTTTGATGGGGGAACAGTGTAGAGAGGGCTTTCTTCTGTATTGAACCCCATGCAGTCCCTCTCCTGGGAGTGTTTGATGGGGACAGTGTAGAGGAAGCTTTACTCTGTACCTAACCCTGTGCTGTCCTGTCCTGGGAATGTTTCATGGGGACAGAGTGAAGAGAGCTTTACTCTGTAACTAACCCTATGCTGTCCCTGTCCTGGGAGTGTTTGGTGGCAACAGTGGAGAGGGAGCTTTATTCTGTATCTAACCCCATGCTGGACCTGTCTTGGGAATGTTTAATGGGGACAGTGCAGTGGGAGTTTTATTCAGTATTCAATTCCATGCTATACTTGTCCTGGATGTGATTGATGGGGACACTGCAGTAAAAGCCTTACTGTGTATCTAACCCTGTGCTGTCCCTGTTCTGGGAGATTTTGATGGCACCAGTACAGAGGGGCCTTTACTCTGTACCTGTCCTTGTGTGGTACCTATCCCATGTACAGAAAATCTAGTCTGGACTTTAGTGCCTAACTGGGTCAGACTGAAAAATTGCTTGTTAATCTTGCAATATATCTAGTTTAAAGTTGCATGAGTTTGCAAATTTTAGTTTGTTTATGTTCTCAGGACAGAATTTACTACAGGTGTCCAGGGCCTTGCCCACTGACTGGGGAGCTGGTGAGCAAGGAATCACTACACAATTAATAATGAAAGAAAAATTTAAGAATGAGATAAAGCTAGTGAGATATATTAAAAATTTAAGCAAGATTTTCTGTCAATATTTAAAGAAGTGTTAATAAAGTGAGTGCTGGTCCGATAAAATGTGAGTCTGAGGAAGTAATCATTTGAAATAAAGCAATGACTGATAAATTGAAGAAGTATTTTACATTGTTTTCACTATAGATGATATAAAAATGCTGTAACTCAAGAGACTAATGTGAGGGAGGAAATCAAGGAAATTCTAATCACCAGAGAAGTGGCACTGAGTAAACTATTGGAGCTGGGGCTGCTGCCAAGTGTCTGACTCCTGATGGACTTCATCTTAGCAACTTGAAAGAAGTGATGAATG